TATATATATATATATAGAGAGAGAGAGAGAGAGAGAGAGATATATACACACACTACCCTTCAAAAGTTTGGGGTCAGTCATTTTTTTTCTTTTGAAATTAATACTTTTATTCAGCACAGATTTTCAGCAAAGTTCTTTTTAACTTTCTATACATCAAAGAATCCTGGAAAATGTATCAGTTTCCATAGAAATATTCAGGAACACAACTATTTTCAACATTGATAACAATAATTGTTTCTTGAGCAGCAAACCAGCATATTAAAAAAATTTCTGAAGAATCATGTGACACTAAAGAATGGAGTAATTTAGCTTTGCATCACAGAAATAAATTACATCTTGAAATATATTCAAACAAAAACATTTCTTTGAAACTGCAATAATATTTCACAATATTGCTGTTTTACTGTATTTTTGATCACATTAATGCAGCCTTGGTGAGTATAAGAATCTTCCAAAGCATTTAAAAAAAAGTCTCAATATACATATTTACAATATTTTTGAGTGAACTATTTCTTTGAAGTCAGCGAACACATTTTTTACACTCTTTGAATTCTCAAACTGGACAAACAAACCGATACAAATTAATTCTGAAAATGCTGGAGACTACGCCTTTAAAAAAAGATGAATTACAACATCACATGTGCAAGGCCTGTTTATTTTTTCAATGGATGGAGTTTGCTTTTCATCCTTATTCTGATCAAATAAAAACAAGTAGCCACTGATGTTCTCTGAAATTATAATTGTTTCAATCAGTGAGGTCAAGTGAGTCGAGGCTGATTACGTCTTTAGTGGCTCAAATACACGCACACACAATGCTTTACGCTCGCAAGCCCAGCTCACTGATATCGATGGGGGTGGATGGTTGTGTAATTCAAAATATACAAATAAATAAGGATAAATGAAAAGCAGTGCAGAAATTTTCCATAAAAACTAGGGGGGTCAACACAGGCCAGGAGCTAATTTCCAAACACACTGGAAAAAGAACAGAGCGAGGGTCACTCGCTGGGCAAACCTACCTTAGCGTGTCTCCATTCTTCAACATTCGTTTGTATCGCTCTTGATAACGAACAGCACGGACTTCCCTGATTTCTCTGATCCTGCGCCGCCAGTTCAAGAATCTGTAGTGTAAATTGATATCATCCATCTCATAGGACTGTGGAGTGGAAAACAGATGCACAATTAATTGAAATGAAACTGAAATTTGCATTATCAAATCAGTTCATATTCAATTCTGATTCTCACAAATCTCTGTATATGCTGTGCACTTAACATGCATTTTGTAATACAAAGTGTGTTAGATTCAATTTATTCACATATTCGCATAACTTGCAGGATTTTTGTGGATAGAAGTTTAAAACCTTTCACCAGTATTTTTCCAAAATAAAAGCTTGAGGATTTGAAATGTTACAAGCATAATGCTCTGAATGTTTGAAAAGTAAAACATAAATATAAGTATTATAACTTTTAGTGTAAAATAAGATAACATTATAATTACTAATGTACCTGTAAATTCACGTTTTATTTTACAGAATAATTGTAATATATTTCAGTTACAACTAATAATAATAATACTTACTAAATTACTATCAAGCTTAAAGGGGTCATATGATGCGATTTTAATTCTTCCTTTCTCTTTGAAGTGTTACAAGCTCTTGGGGGCGTAAAGAAGATCTGTAAAGTTGCAAAGACTAAAGTCTCAAATCCAAAGACATATTCTTTATAAAAGAGTCAACCACGTCTACCTAAAACGGCTCGTTCTAACACGCCACAAAGAAAGAAGACGTAACTTTTATTCTCGCTGCAGTATTGGCGTTGCTGCCGCCATGTCGTGAAGGCACTGTGTTTCATTGTGAAAGTGAAACTACTTTGTTTGGCCTACCAAAAGAGGATGATATCAGCTTCTTCATGTCTGGAGCTGATCCGTGCTGGTCGCTGAGGAAATACATCAACTTCACGCTGTGGATCGCCCGATCGGCTTTCACTGTGGACGAAGCGGAGTCCAGCCCGGGGTCGTCACATGTGGTTGCCACAAGCCCGCCAGCCGTTCCTCACTCTAGGCCTCCGGCCTCCGCTCACTCAAGCCCGCCATGTGTGACGCTGTGTTTCGTTGTGAAAGCGAAACTACTTTGTTTGGCCTTCCAAAAGAGGACACGACTAGAAATCATTGGTTAAAGGGATAGTTCACCCAAAAATGAAAATTTAATGTTTATCTGCTTACCCCCAGGGCATCCAAGATGTAGGTGACTTTGTTTCTTCAGTAGAACACAAATGATGATTTTTAACTCCAACCGTTGCAGTCTATCAGTCGTATAATGCATGGCAATGGTAACAAAATCTATGAGAGTAAAAAAAACATGCACAGACAAATCCAAATTAAACCCTGCGGCTCGTGACGACACAGTGATGTCCTAAGACACGAAACGATCGGTTTGTGCCAGAAACCGAACAGTATTTATATCATTTTTTACCTCTAATACACCACTATGTCCAACTGCCTTGAGCGAGCGCACGGCATCCGGTGCGTACACGCTCTGGCGTAGTTTACGTTAATGGGTGTGTTGATATCCAGCCGAAGAGCAATTAACCATAACTTCAAGCGAGCAGGCTCAGAAGTTGGGAATAAGTGGAAAGTCACAGTTTGCGCGAGAGAACGTAATCTTTTAGTTTTAAGTC